TTCTAAGTCAGAAGCCTTCGTCTCCAATGTTGGATGATCCTTTCACCTGGAGCTCATTGCACTGTTTTCCTTTGTTACTAGATGAGAGTTTGAGTACTCTAAAGCTTTCTCTACCATTACCCATCCTGAAGCTCCTTTCCCTTCAGGGAAGCAAGTACATTGCTTCAGCCCTTCGCCATAATCCATAATACTCACAAATCCCAATAAACCTTCCTTTTCTGTACTCTTTCTGTTTGGCATAGTATTTCCTTTCAGTTTCCACCAAACAATTTTCCCACTCCTGCTTAGGACCTACTGGCCTTGCTCCTGCCAGGACCCTTTGAAACCATTCCACTGCTTCCCCAGTTAGAATCAATGAAGGTCTTCTTAACTCAACAATCTTCACCACTATCGCTCCTCTAGTTCTCACTTCCTCAAGCACGAAAGTTTTAGCTTTTTAACAACTTTTTCCACCTTCTCACCGCTGCAAAGTTCACCACTGTTCATCTTTCCCCCTGGTCTTCACCTTCTGCAAATTTGCACAGAAATTTAATGGTCTTAATAGAGAGGTTTGTTTTCCTTTCAATTAATATGCATGCTGAATGGTATATAAAACTAGGGACCAAGCTAAAATTTAGCTTTCAATTTTAAAAAACTCTTATCACCTAGGCAGTTGCCTAGGTGATTAGGCACTCCACTGTCACCCAGAACTGCATAGATGACTTCACAACATGTAATAACATTATTCCTAGCGAGGATGTGTCATCTGGTAATATTGTGTTCTTGATATAACCTAGATAGAAACTCAAACACACTATTGCACACAACTAGTTTTTTTTGTTTGAAGTCATAGCATTCCTTGAGGTCTTTTATTCCAAGTCTCTAGATGATCTATTTTGATAGAGCCCAGGATCATTACAGCCAACAAGGTCCTAACACTCCAACTCAAGCCCAGGCTTGAACTTGGGGAGTCACGCATAAATCACCACTCAAATCTGTTTATACTATATGTGATTTTTTTGAAGGGTTACTATATGTGATTCGCATGTGATGAGTTGATGTATTTGTTTGTTAACCTAGACAATGAGAGAGACAAGAGAGAAAACACAGAGAACTTCCAAGACTGTTCAGTTGGTCTCATTTAGTTGACCCAACCCAGAAAACATGTTTATATTAAAATAAGTAAAATTACAAGACTACCCTTACAAAAGAAAATAAAATACAATAAGGTACAGAGATGTCTAGTGTACCCACTACGCTAATATGACACAATAGAGTAGTACAAAGACAAATTTGCCCCTTCTCTCTACACTCCCCCTCAAATTGATGTTGGGGAACAAGCATCATTTTTGTCAAAAAGAAACATATGCCTGGCCCGAAACGGATTTGGTGAATAGATCCGTGAGCTGTAGGCCAGAAGAAACATGGTGAAGAGAAATATGGCCACCAAGGTCTCTAATAAAATGGTAATCGACTTCAATATCTCTAATATTATTGTTGAGATTATGTATTGTGAACATGGGCATTCTTGTCCTTACACTTATTTATATTTGGGCACCCATTTAGGGGCAAGTTTGTAATTTTGAAATATTAAGTTAAATGGATTTTTTCTGGGTATGAACAGTATCACATTCTATTCCCCCAAAGTCTCTTGGTGTCAGAGTAGGTTGAGATTGTTAAAAGGCTGTTAATTCTCTAAGTATAGTACCGTAGGGGTACTATTGTAATTTTCTCCTTTTATTTTTTATATCCTTCCGCCCTAGTATATATACCAAAAGATGGCGCCGCCACAGTACTTTTTGGCTCTCAGATCTCTCTTCTCTCTTCCTCTCTTCTTCTCTCCTGCATAACATGGTATCAGAGCGGGACTATCAGATCTAAAAGGAGAGGTCAAGTGAACAGTTTCCTTCGCACCAGATTTCCAGATCTGCCGCCCTCATCTACTGTTCGGTTGATTGAAGATCAAGGTTTCTCACACACTGAAGGAACTAGTAGATCTTCTTGAGGGGAAGGATCCAGTTGGATGTAAATGGGTTTTCACAGTTAAACAAAGGGTTGATAGCACCGTGGAACGGTATAAAGCTCGTTTAGTGGCAAAAGTGTTTACACAATTGTATGGAGTAGATTACTCAGAAACATTTGCACATGTTGCTAAGATGAACTCCATTAGAGTCCTTTTCTCCCTAGCTGCTAATCTTGACTGGGATCTTCATTAGCTTGACATCAAGAATGCCTTTCTGAATGGTGACCTTGAAGAGGAAGTATACATGGTACAACCCCCTAGTTTTTGGGCTCAAGGTAATGAACAGAAAGTGTGCAGGTTAAAGAAATCATTATATGGGCTGAAACAATCACCAAGAGCCTGGTTTAGCAGGTTCCATGTAGTAGTACAACAAAGAGGATACAAGCAGTGTCAATCTGATCACACATTGTTTGTGAAAAGAGGGGAAGGGAAAATTGCAGCACTGATAGTATATGTTGATGATATAGTTATCACTGGTGATTGGAAGGATGGCATTCAGAAGTTGAAGAATTTTCTTGCTACCCAGTTTGAAGTGAAGGATCTAGGTCCTTTGAGGTACTTCCTTGGAATTGAAGTGGCCTGCTCACAAAAGGGTATCTTCATTTCCCAAAGAAAGTATGTCCTAGATCTACTCCAGGATACAGGAAAATTGGGAGTGAAGCCAGTTGATTCCCCTATTGATCCTAACCACAAACTAGGTGACTGTCAAGGTGAACCCATCAAGGATGTGAAACAGTTCCAGAGACTTGTAGAAAGATTGTTATATCTTTCTATGACTCGACCAAACATAGCTTATGTAGTGGGTGTTCTTAGCTAGTTCATGCATTCTAAGACTACCCATCTTGAAGCAGCAGAAAGAGTTCTCAGATATCTTAAGAAGTTCCCAGGTGCAGGCTTGTTGTTTCAAAAGCATGGACATTTGAAAGTTGAAGTGTATATTGATGCAGATTGGGCAGGATCCCTGACTGACAGAAAGTCAACTAGTGGCTATTGTACCTTTATAGGAGGTAATCTAGTTACCTAGAGAAGCAAAAAGCAGAATGTGGTAGCTAGATCTAGTGCTGAAGCTGAATTCGGGCAATGTCTCATGGAGTGGCTGAAATTATGTGGCTAAAAAATTTGTTGAGTTGGGTTTTCCAGTTGACAGACCTATGACCCTATTCTGTGATAACAAAGCAGCTATAAACATTGCTGCTAATCCAGTGCTGAATGATAGAACTAAACACATCGAAGTTGACAAACACTTTATCAGAGAAAAGGTCGTCACAAGGGAAGTGTGTACTCCTTATGTTAGCTTTGAAGATCAACTTGTAGACATCTTTACGAAAGGGTTACACCACTCATGGCATCATGATTTATGTGACAAGTTGGGCATGATTGACATCTATGTCCCAACTTGAGGGGGAGTGTTAAAAGGCTGTTAATTCTCTAAGTATAGTACCGCAGGGGTACTATTGTAATTTTCTCCTTTTATTTTTTATATCCTGTCGCCCTAGTGTATATACCAAAAGCCGGCGCCGCCAGTAGTACTTTTTGGCTCTCTCTTCTCTCTTCCTCTCTTCTTCTCTCCTGCATAACAGAGATCTTGGAAGACTTATTTTTCTGTTGACCTTCAAAGCCAGGAAGACCTGCTGATGTCAGACTGCCACCAGATGACATTAGTGGTCTGTACAGGTGCGGGTGGCAACCCTTGAATCTGGTTCAGTTCAATGTGCCCTGATTTTAGAAGGATTTTGGTACAGGTCTCAGCTCCATTTGATGCTTCCATGTTTTTCCCAAAATTTTCAATAAAAAATTAAAGAAAAATACAGTTTCGATGTTTGAGTTTTCTCTTTGCATCAGAAGTTGTTTCTTTCTTGAGACTTGCTGTCCTCGTGTCGTTTTACCATTTTGGGAGTATGGGAAGTGGTTCCAGATTTTTTTTTTGAACCCTAGTTATTTTTTGGTAGATTGAAGGAAATTGAAGTTCATGAAGTCCAGGATAATGCTGTATCGGGAGCTTCTTTGAATTGTTGTCATCTGGAAAAATGTCAACTGTGGAGATTGGAGAATGTGAACACATTGAGTTTAAGATTGGGAATGAAGATTTCAAGGGATCATATGGATTCATTGGTGGAAATAGTAGTAGTTGGATCTGACGACAATTTTAAGAGATCTGAGGTTGGTGAAATGCATAGCAGAAAATATAGAACCCATCTGGTCTATGAAGTTGTGAATGATGATTATGATTCAGAAGCTGACTAAAAGTTTCAGGGCAATAAGATGGGAGGCAACTCTAAATAATGAAGAGGATGAAAATATGTGGGTGTGGGTTGGTTGATGCGAATTGGAGAATTTTAGCAGTGTGAGCTGAAATGGAATATGAAAACTTGATAGTTTTAGATTAAGCTGGGAAGTTGAATGGTTCATGGGAATAAGTATAATAAGAGGTGGGAGCTTGGTGTTCTAAAGCGAGATATGGGATAGTCATGATTGATGAAATTCTTTTTTTTTTTAATTTTGAGATGGCTCTTATTAGATGTTTTAGATGTCACAAATTTGTTTTTATCATATGAGATTTCCTGTTTGAATTCAGGATGATTGTATTGCATGTTTCTTGTTGAAGGGTGTTATTTTATCAGTTTTGTTGTAATGTGTTTGGGTTGTTTGCTTTTGTTCTTTATTTTATTTTTTTCTTTTCAGGAGATTTCCTTGTAACCTTAGTTGTGTAGTCTCCTTTTTCTACTTTAATGAATATTTTATTTACTACAAGGTGAAATCAATTACTATCAATTCCTGTATGTATACTGTTGATTAGATGATACCTTAAGCCTATAGAATTGGTCACTTTGTGAGAACATGGTGATTAACCATGAGCTCTGATACCAAATGAAATGGGATCACCTGCTCCAATATCACTTGATGTAGGACTTGTGACTCTAATAACAAGGGGCTATTTTTTGTTTCTTCCCTTCATTGCTAATATTGACCTTTTATGATTGAATACTTGCTACAACAGGCACTGTGGATACTAATTTGGAAGCAAGCTTGGCTGGTATCAATATTGTAATTGGCAGGTGAGAGATTGTGCTCAGTATTTACATCATATGGTTTCAAATTGGAAATGGTTGGAGCTTATTCTTATAAATTTCTCATTACATGGAAGATAGACAAGGGGAGTCTTGCAATTCAGTTTGTCGATCGAAGGGGCAATCATGTGTTCCAAACAAGCTTTTGGTGCTGAATAAATGTGAACTGTATGCTTTATAAACCTGACACTATTTTCTATTTCCAGTTCCAGTTTGTTTTCTTAATATAACAAAAAAGTTCAGGTACCACTTATACTTTTGACTTGCTATTTTGGTCTTGTTGGTAATAGTCATGAGGTTGTTGTTAAGTCAAAGATATTGAGTAACCAAAAACTTAACAAATTGTACTAATCATTGGTGTGTTCTTTGCAAAGCGGACGGGGAGACTGGTTTTCACTTACTGGTGTCTTGCCAATTTGCAAAGTCAATCTGGGAGTGGGCTTTTTCTCTCTTTGGGTGTAGGTGGAATCCTCCATCAAACTTGCAAAGCTTATTTTCCCCTTCCTTTTTCAGGTGGCACATGAAAAGGGGAAGGACTATGTGGAGAGGTCTAAGGGCTGCACTATGCTGGACATTATGGGAAGAAATAAATACTAGGATCTTCTTAGAAAATGAGAGAGGGGCTGAAGAATTGAGGGCTGTGATCCACATAAGGGCAGTACAGTGGCTGAAATCACTAGAACTATTTTCAAATTACACAGTGGAAGACATGTTGAGAAAGTGGGG